GGAGTTCAGGCTGACCCCAAGAATATCGAAGCCGTACGCGCGTAGAAGACACCCGAGAACGTGAAGGAGTTGCGGCACTTCCTAGGCTTTGCAAACTATTACAACAGGTTCGTGCCACAGTATGCGAAAATAGCAACACCACTCACGAATCTGCTGACGAAGAACACGCCCTATAAGTGGGAATCGAAGCACCGGGAAGCCGTGGAGTAGCTAAAACAAGCACTCGCGTGCGCGCCTGTACTCATCTTGCCAGATCCCGTACGCGACTACGTCATCGAAGCTGACGCTAGTGATCAGGCAATGGGAGCAGTCTTCATGCAAGACCAAGGGAATGGATTGCAACCAATCGCCTATTTCAGCAAGGAACTACACGGGGCAGAACTAAACTACCCGATACACGATAAAGAGGCCCTTACTATCATCATCGCCTTCAAAACGTGGAGATGCTATATCAAAGGATGAAAAAGAACCGTCTACACCGACCATTGCAGCCTGAAATATTTGAAGACACAACCAAACCTCTCCAGGCGGCATGTCCGGTGGATTGACTTCCTCGAGACACACTTCCACTATGACATCGTGTACAAGCACGTCCACAAAAACAAAGCAGATGCACTTAGTCGGCCTGCACACGTCGCCGCCATCCAGATCGAAGGGATGAATTCACTACTCAAGGGACTCTTCACACACGGTTACACAATCGACCCAAAAAATCCTTTGGCAGAAAAGCGACACCTGGTACAGTGGGACAATGACATCGCGTACCGGAAGGGATCAAGGAAAATATGGGTACCCAATTACCCTCCTTTGTGCCAATTATTAATCGAGGAATACCATGATATCCTACTCGGTAGCAACAAGACGCTCGCCGGTATCGCGAAGCACTACTACTGGCCCCATTTGGCAGACGATGTCTAGAAATTCGTCACCTCGTGTGATATATGTCAGCGGATGAAGAGCAGCAAGCAGAAGGAGGCGGAACTACTATAGCCTCTTCCTGTCCCAGAACAATCCTGGCAAGTGGTTAACTTGGATTTCATCACCGGGGTTACCACCTACCACAAGCGTTCATGACGCAATCCTCGTCGTCATCGACAAATTCTCCAAATTGGGACACTTCATCCGAACACACACGAAGCGACGGGTGAGTGAGCGACCGACACGAGCAAGTTGCAGCGATCTGAGTAGGCGCCGCCACCTGAGATGACACTACCACTAGGGGGGGACGCAGTGTCCAGCATGAACAAGTGAGATAATGGATCCTGGGGTAACGTGGTGAGGGGGGCACTAGTGGCGGCCTTCGTACAGACTGCGTACTGCTCGTGTCCAGGGAACGTAGTGGTGATGCCGAGGTACTGAAGACAGCCGATACCAACTAGGTTCCTGGAGAACGAGGGGATGCGCAAACCTGTAAGGGAGCCCGAGGGAACCGCCAGACAGGGAAGGGTGGTGGAGCTACGTGCAACTACCGGACCTGAGGAGAGGTCAGCAAGAGCGACAGCTGTAGGGGTGACAAGTGGCATGAGCGTAGTGTGGTCGAGAAAGAAGCAGGCGGATGCACCAGAGTCCAGCGTGAAAGAGAGAGCAGCGGTAGCGGAGGAGGTACTAGGGTGGAACCAAGGCTAAACAAGGCAAGAGGTCCTACGTCTGACGCAGCAGCGGAGTCTAGACTTCACATAGTGGACATACCTACACTAGGCAACACAGAGTAATAAGGTCTAGTCACACTAGAGTCATCGGTATACATGGCATACAAAGATGAGCGAATATGATCCATATCCATCTCTAAGACCGACAAACGGCGACGCACTAGGCTGTGCCAATCCGGGAGGCCCGGCGCAGGCCTGAACTGGAGAAGGAAGAGGTTGTCGAGATGGCGATAGCAACGGGCGGCGGTCTGATTGGGACGGTCACACATGGTGCCAGAACATGGTCCGATCCGAAGCTGGTACTGGCAAGTCACCGCAATGGAGCTGCCACCCGATGCCGAGCTGCGGGAGCCGCCACCGCGGCCACAACCATCAAAACCGCCAGGCCACCATGGCAGCGGGAGTCACCATGGCTGCTGCTGCTGGGGCTGTTGCTGCTACTACTGCTATTGCTGGGGCTATTGCTGCTACTGTTGTTGCTCCTGTTGCTGCTGCTGCTGCTACTACTGCTGCACCGGGGCAGCAGCCTCGGTCCCCTCGTCTTCACCACCGGCACTCGTACCATTGCCACCACCTCCGTCATCCCCGCCACCCCTCCCTCCGTCACGTCCCCCCTATAGGGCAGTGGCCCTTACTCTAACGAGACTGTGCTGAAGTCGCCGCGGCGGTCTCAGCAGCAGGGGCTGTCTCAGCAACAGCGGCAGAAACATCAAAGTAAGTCCACTAGGAGGGAGCACAACCCTAGAAGATGGAGACAGATGCAGTACTACTAGACTGTGCGATAGTGCGCTGGCGGGTCTCTATCGCAGACAAGGTGGTGACAAAGTCAGTGAGGGTGAGGTTAGCGAGGTGGAGACTAAGGAAGTGTTCGCGGGCAGTGGCGAGGCGGTAAAGAAGGCGCATGGCAAGAAAAGAGAGGGTAGCGCCGAGGGGGGGAGGCAGTACAATGAGCTGGGCCTAGTGCCATCAGCGCGGTAGCTAGTCTCAAGTGGGCGCAGGTGAGTAGCAAGGTCAACGACAATGGGGAAAGACGCAAGATCAGGGAAGAGCAGGGGGAGAAGGAGACGCCCAGCAAGGCGGAGGAGGGAGTGGAATAGCGCACAATGATGCTATCTAGGTACTCCTTCGCGATCTATACAGCCTGAAAGTGAGGATGCTCGGACAAGGGGAGGGCATAACTTATAGTAAGCTGTGCAACTGCATCGCGCGACTCCTAGACAAAGCAGGTGAGCTCAGCAGCGACGAAGGCCTCACGCTCAGCAGGCATGGGGGCATCAGGGAGGGCAGCAAGCGGGTCGGGGCAGAGGAGCATACCGTGGACGGTCAGGGACTAGTCGTCCTGGCGCTGACTCTTCAGCTGGCGGCGGAGGTTGGCGAGCCACGCCTCAAAGTCGACCACTCGACCCTCCGCGTCCAGGCGGAGCATAGCGTCCGCCATAACCATGATTGCAGCAGCTGACGACCGCTAGAGGAGGAGAAGAAGGGGGCCAGGTAGGGGCTATGAAGAGCGGTGGAGAGTGGTGGAGAGCTTTGGAGAGTGGTGAAGAGCAGGGAAGCCGCGGCAAGGAGACAGCTGGCGGACGCGCCGGTTCAGAGGGGAACCAGGGCCGGCAGCAAGGAGGCGCGGCGGCACGGCGACACCGCGGCATGGCGAGTAGGGGGGCGCGGCTCGGTAAACAGAATCCAGCAGCGGGCTGGCGGCACGCAGGGGGGCCGACGGTGGGCCGGCGAGCTGAGGCCAACGAGCCGGGACCGGCATGAGCTGGGGGGGTGGGGGGGGGGGCGGCGCGAGCTTGGGGCCGACAAGTTGGGGCCGGGGCGAATTGGGGCCGGTGAGCTAGGGCCAGTGAGCCGTGGCCGGCACGAGGTGGAGCTGGCAAGCGAGGGTTGGCGAGCTGGGGCTGGCGAGCTGGGGCCGGCGAACTGGGGCTGGCGAGCTGGGGCCGGCGAGCTGGGGCCGGCGCGAAGCCGACGAGCAAGCTAGGGCCGGCGACGGGATCGGTGTTGGCGAGCTAGGGCTGGGGAGGGAACCGGTGCCGGCGAGCGAGCTAGAGGCAGCGAGTGAGCTAGGGCTGGCGAGCTAGGGTCGGCGAGCTAGGGGGCCACACGGCGAGAAAAGGGGCTCATGCGGACCGCGAAGGGCCAGTGGCGAGCTAGGGGCCAGCACGAAGCTGACAAGCGAGCTAGGGTCGACGACCTAGGGGGCCACGCGGTGAGGAACGGGGCTCGCACGGCGCGCGAAGGGCCAGCGGCGAGCTAGAGTCCAGCACGAAGCCGGCGAGCGAGCTAGGGGCCAGCGCGAAGCCGGCGAGCGAGCGAGGGCCGGCGAGCTATGGGGTCACGTGGCGAGGAGAGGGGCTCGCGCGACGCGCGAAGGGCCAGCGGCGAGCTAGGGGCCAGCGCGAAGCCGGCGAGCGAGCTAAGGCCGGCGAGCTAGGGGGTCACGCGGCGAGGAAAGGGGCTCGCGCGGCGCACAAAGGGCCAGCAGCGAGCTAGGGGCCAGCGCGAAGCCGGCAAGCGAGCTAGGGCCGGCGAGCTAGGGGGCTACGCGGCGAGGAAAGGGGCTCGTGCGACACGCGAAGGGCCAGCAGCGAGCTAGGGGCCAGCACGAAGCTGGCGAGAGAGCTAGATCCGGAGAGCTAGGGGGCCACGCGACGAGGAAAGGGGCTCGCGCGGCGCGCGAAGGGCCAACGGCGAGCTAGGGGCCAGCGGCGAGCTAGGGACTAGGGCGGAAGCGCGGACAAGGGACCTAACATAGCGTGATACCATCTCAGAATAGCACATTAAAGCTAGACAATAGCATATAGTGTGTTATTATACTGGTGTGTGATACCCGCTAAGAGCATGCACCTATGTAGCCAATTACAACAAATATATATGAGTTGACACCATTGTCTCCCAAACCAAACCGAGGTACAAGTCGTATTCTCTTAACGCAAACTCCGTGATTGTTGGAATATGCACTAGTCGAATAGGCACGTGTGGCCCGAGAAAAATTGCACTTATCGTGCCCCGAGGTTATTGGAGCGCTGACGAATGTGCACTGTTCAGGGGTGGGGACCCTGTTGTTTGCTGCGACTGGCCCTCATTCGCCGAGTCGCACACGCGTCGCAATGCGTGTCAGGGCTTGGGACAACCACACTCAATTTGATGCAGTCTCCCACTCAGGAGCGGGCAGACTTGATCTCAAATTTGTGGCGATGCATTTTTCACATGCTGACACCAGCTCTTTCATTGGCCGGTTGCGTTTATGGGTGTTGCCCCTACCGAATACTTGCCCTTGCCCCTATGAAATAGTTGCGCCTGTGGTGGTTGTTCTAATCGAATACAGCTTGGAGGGACTACAGCACGGCTAGTACACGTAGCTCGATATACCCTCTACACACCTCTTTTCCGTCGTTCCTTTCACCACGCCGCACCCAAGCTGTCTCAGTTCACGTCCACGGCTCCCACACCCCACTCCTTCCTTGTGATCGTCGCTGCTCGTCTCGTCGTCTCTCGTAAGCCACCCAACCCGACCTCCACGTGTCCACATCGATCAGACGCTTGCTGGCAACTTCTCACTCCTCCCCGCGCTCGATCTACCGCCTGCAACACTCCTCAGTCGCTTGAGGCTCCGCTCAGAAACGCGTGACCATCCACCGCCGAGCGTCGCTCCCTTTCCACCACTGAGCGTCACTCCCAAGACTCGCGCAGCGTCGCTACGTGCTCTCGCCGCCTAAGAGGCTAAAGGATGAACCTGGCAGGCTAGGCGGAAGATCCGGGAGATCAGTGCAGCAGATCCCGATTCTGAGTCCCGATTCAGTACGCAAAAGCAGATCCCGAGGTTCCGCGGGGATCACTGGAGGTTCCGCCAGTGCTGGGTTCAGGGGGGGGATCGCGATCCGAAACCCGTCGCAAGGTTAGCGGTTCTGATCGCGGATCCGCGGGGTTGCGGAGTTTGCCGCTCGTTCGTCAGACCGTGGTCTGCATAAGTGTGCGTCAACCGCAGGGTGTTCGTCAACACTTCTGTTTGTGACCGCCGTTGCTGCGCCGTCTGTAGCCGCCGTTGCTGCGCCGTCTGTAGCCGCCGTTGCTGCGCCGTCTGTAGCCGCCGTTGCTGCGCCGTCTGTAGCCGCCATGGGCCGCTGCAATGGAGTCCAGCAGGCGGCCAGGATGCTCTTTAGCCGGATACACACTCCATCCCTGCGACAGGTACGTCTGGGCCAGGTGGGTGCTGGGAAGGAGGTATGTCTGGGACAGGTGGGTGCTGGGAGGGAGGTATATCTGGACAAGTGGGTGCCGGCAGGGAGGTATATCTGGTGCAAGTTGGTGCTGGCAGGAAGGTAATCTGGGACCCTCTCACTGCCCTCTTTCCTAACCCTTCCTTCACTCCCCCATTGCTATTCCTACTCTCCTTCACCCTTGTCATCCTCATCACTCAGTTGCAATCTGCCAGTGCCATTGTAACAAGATGGCTTTTGAGTCGACTCAAAGGTCTTCGCCCTTGCCGTCCTCATCACTCACTTGCGCTCTTCCCCTTGAAGAAATGCAGCTCGTCTCCCCTCTCCCTCCCACTCACCCTCCCCCTCTGTCTATCTTCCACCCATGCTGCCTGCCCCAACCTGCTCCTGCCCCAACCCGCTCCTGCCGCACTCCCCCAGAGACCTCCCTCGATTCCGACCCCCTCGTGCTCCAGTATCCAACTCCAGCAGCCATCCCACGCGCCAAGCCACCTGCACACAGTAGCAGCAGCGGCAGAGGCAGAGGCAGGGGCAAGAGCCGCTGCCCTTAGATGGGGCAGCAGGGTGGGAGCAGGGGCAGGGGCAGGGGCAGGGGCAGGGGCAGGGGCAGTCGTGGGGGCAGGAGAGCGCGGTACAGGTGCAGTGCATCTGGACGTTGGGGGTCTGAGATGGCTGAAAACGAGTGCGGGAAGGGGGCGCGCTGTGGGGGCTAAGGCAAAGCCAGGGGCAGGGGCAGGTGCAGTGCATGTGGACATTGGGGCGAGGGCTCGGGCGAGGCAGACGCAGCGAATGTGGACGCTTGTGATTGGCGGAGGGGCGGTGGCTGGACTGGCTATATTCGCAATGAACTCGTTTCAAGAGAACCTGATGTTCTATATCACGCCCACTCAGGTGAGGTGATTAGTCAGGTTGCACATATCACGAGAACTTGATGTTCTATATCACAACTTGATGTTCTATATCACAACTTGATGTCCTGTATCACGTCCACACAGGGTAAAATGGCTCAGGTAGCCATACTCAGGTGTGTTCTGCATCGCATCCCACCCATTCAAACATTTTTTTCTCCTTCTTTCTCCTCCGCGCCCTTGTCTCGCATGGGTGTAAACGTGTACATATGTTGCTGTGGGGAGTGTTTTTCTCACATCACCCTGCCGTCCACCCCTCCATCTCCTCTTCGCCCTCTTCAGGCTCTTGAGAAGTTCGCAGAGAACTCGTCTGCCAACCGATTCAGGCTGGGCGGGCTGGTGAAGGAGGGCAGGTGAGAGGGGTGAGAGGCGGGAGGGCGAAAGGGTTTAAAGGAGGGATGGTGGGGGGTTTGGTGTAGTAGGGGAGGATCTTGAGAAGATTCTTGGACATCTTCCAGTGAGCGTGGCGTCAGTAGACAGGTTAGCAAGTAGGAAAAAAAAAACAGTGAACTGTAAAAGTGCTTATGTAAGCGTGATTTCGGAGTAGTCGGAGCTCTTCCCTTAACAACCACATGTGACAAACATGTTTCGGCCGCAGGGCATACCCTAGCGAGCCTTCATCAGTGTCAATGAGAAAGTATGAGCAAAGCAAAGCCTCTAAGTAGAAACTATGCATCCAACCGAACCAAACTCAATGTAATCTTCACCCGGTCAACCCAAAATATTGGGGACCAATTCAGGCCAACCTGGTAAAAACCAAGGGGCCACGTCTTCAAACCTCGAGGGTGTCTTGAAAAGTAGTTGAACTCGAGTCTTTGCCAGTTGGCAGCTTCGGAAGCCGCGCGTGCACCAAACGCTTTGATAAGCTACACCCAATTTTCCAAGCAACAAAAACCCTCTCTATGAGTAAACCATGCGTGAGGAGTCTATTTTTGAGGCGCCTCAAGAATAGACTCCTCACGCAGGATCTTGAGAAGTTCGCAGAGAACTCTTCTGCCAACCGATTCAGGCTGGGAGGGCTGGTCAAGGAGGGCAGGTGAGGCACCAGGCTTGGTGGTTCATTGTGAGGCACCTCAGGTACTCGATTCACAGGCTCTGGAGAAGTTCGCAGAGAACTCGTATGCCAACCGCTTCAGGCTGGGAGGACTGGTGAAGGAAGGCAGGTGAGGAGAAGGGAGATGAGGAGAAGGGTGTGAGGGGGGGGGGTGGGGGGGGGGAAGGGTTTAAAGGAGGGATGGTGGGAGGTTTGGTATGGTAGGGGAGGAACTTGAGAAGTTCGCAGAGTTAGTTCGTCTGCTAACCGATTCAGGCTGGGAGGGCTTGTGAAGGATGGCGGGTGAGAATGATGACTAGTGGGTGGGGGAGACGGGGGAGGTTAGAGTGTGAGAGTGTAAACGGAGGATAAGGGGAGAAGGGCGGTGTAGGAGGGCAGGCGAGAGGGGAGGTGTAGGAGGGAGGCGAGAGGGGAGGTGTAGGAGGGAGGCGAGAGGGGAGGTTTAGGAGGAAAGACGAGAGGGGAGGTGTAGGAGGGGAGGCGAGAGGAGTGCTGTAGGACAGCAGGTGAAAACGGATGTGAGTTTTTTTGCTTCAACCACCAGCACACAGGGAACGTCTGTGCTCCCCTCTGCGTCTCTCCCTCTTCTGCTTCTCCTTTCGTTTCTCCCCTTCCACTCCTCCAGTGTTCACATCCCTGCAGCTAGCATCGAGATGGAGTTTGTTCTGTCGGCTCAAAGAACATCTGTGCTCTGCTTTCCTCCTCTCTGTGCCGCCCTCCCCTCTCTTTCTCCCCTCCCAGTGTTCGCATTCCCGCAGGAACCATCGAGATGGAATTTGTTGTCACAGACCTTGCAACGGATGTGAGTTTGTTTGTTTTTTTTTTTTTTTTTTTTTTTTTTTTTTACAGGAGATGCCACTTTTTGTTTGGGGGTCTTGATCCCTAAAGCGTCTGCTTTACATCCTGGCTGCTCGAATGATGCGCCTTCTTTATTCCACGGTTCCTGCTTCCATGGCTTCCTGCGTATCATTCCATCCGTGACTATCCTGGCGCATCTCCCCTAGTTTGCAGGGTATTTTGGAGAATTCTAAAAAATACCCTGCATTCCATCCATGACTATCCTGGCTCATCTCCCCTTGGGGTGTCATGTTCCCTTGGGGTGTCATGTTCCCTTGGGATGTCATGTTCCCTTGGGGTATCATCTTCCCTTGGGGTGTCATCTCCCTGTGGGATGTCATCTCCCCTTGGGGTGTCATTTCCCCTTGCGGTGTCATCTCCCCTTGGGGTGTTATCTCCCCTTGGGGTGTCATCTCCCCTTGCGGTGTCATCTCCCCTTGGGGTGTCATCTCCCCTTGGGGTGTCATGTTCGCTTGGGTAAGATGGCATCTCCCCCCACAGCCAAGCCAACAGCACTGCTTGCTTGATTTCACACGCCTTCTCTTCCTCCCGTCCTCTGTCTCCCACCTGGATATTCTGGCCCACTAGCGCAGTACCTTACCAGATCTTTTCGGGGAGGGTCACAGCGTGGTGGCGGAGGGCTTTCTGGAACCACTAAGCCAAACCAACACCACTGCTTGCTCACTTTCACTCCTCTTGTCTCCCTCCCTTCCCCCCTCCCTCCCTTCAGGTCCTGGTCCACTTACGCGGTGCCTTACCAGGTCTGTTCCATGAATGAAGGCTGTCTCGTTTTGTGGTGGCTGGCAGAAGGCTTTCTGTGGCCGCTCAGCCAATTTAACACCGCTGCTGGTACCGCTGCAGAAGCGTTTGCTATCAAACTGCTTATCTTCTTCCTCCCTTCCCCCCTGCGTACACTCCAGATCCTGGTCCGGTACAGAGGTGCTCTGCCAGATCTTTTCAGGGAGGGCCATTCAATGGTGACGGAGGGCTTTCTGCAGCTGCTAAGTCGAACCAGCACTGCAGCCTGCTTGCTTCCAAACCCCCTTCTCTTTGTTTTCCCCCCCTACTTGTAGGTCAGATTCTTGTCCGGTACAGAGGTGCTCTGCCAGATCTCTTCAGGGAGGGCCATTCCGTGGTGGCAGAGGGGTTTCTTCGGCTTCTCACCCTAGCCAGCACTGCAGCCTGCTTGTTAGCTTTCACACCTGTTCTCTTCCTCCCTCCTCCCTCCCTCCCCCTTCCCTCACTCCAGATCCTGGTCCGGTACAGAGGTGCTTTGCCAGATCTCTTCAGGGAGGGCCATTCCGTGGTGGCAGAAGGCTTTCTGCGGCCGCTAAGCCAAGCCAACACCGCTGCTTTTACCGCTGGCGCCAACATCAGCGGTGCGGCCACCAGCAGCAGCAGCGGTTTGCTGGGGGTTGCAGAGGCGGAGGGTGCAGTGGTGGCAGGGCGGGGGGAAGGTGGTGGTGGTGGGCAGGCGGAAGGGGGGGTGGAGGAGTGGGAGGACGTGAGTGCGAGTGCAAGGAGCGTGGGGTACTTCTTTGCGGCTACTGAAGTGCTGGCGAAGCATGATGAGGTGAGTGGTGCTAGCAGGGGGTTCGTTGATGTGTAACAGCTAGCAAAGCATACATGTTGCATGTCAGATGTGCGCGTGTGTGCGAGGACACCCCCACCCCACCAATCCCCATCAATCCGCAGCCCTTCCCCTCCCATCCCCCCCCCACAACGACACCCCCATACTTGCTCAAGGAGGTGGCAGCAGCTCTAGAGAAAGGAGCTTGACTATTGAGACTTCAACATCCCACCGATATCCCACCTTTTCCTCCCCGCCTTCCCCCTCCCCATCTTCCCCTCCCCGCCTTCCCCCTCCCCGCCTTCCCCCTCCCTGCCTTCCCCTCCCCGCCTGCCCCTCACCATCTTCCTCTCACCAGAAATACATGCCCAAAGAGGTGGCGGCAGCTCTGGAGAAGAGCAGAGCAGCAGCTCGGAGTCTGAACTTGAGGCGTCCCATGGTCTCAGCATCCCCACCAATCCCCCGCCCTTCCTCTCCCGTCCCCCCCCCCCCCCCCCCCCCCTCCCCCCACCTTCCCCTGCCCAACCCCCTTAGAAATATATGCCCAAGGAGGTGGCGGCAGCTCTGGAGAAGAACAGAGCGGCCATTGAAGCAGCTGGGGAGGAAGGGGAAGATAAGGCTGATGAGGGGGAGGGGGGGGGGAAGGGGGATGACCGTGGGGAAAGGAGTGTGGAGGGGCAAAAGGGAGAGAATTCTGCTGTTTCTAGTGGTGGTGCCATGGGGATGGGGGAGGGTGCGAAGAAGGGTGGGAAGCTGAGCAAGCTAGGCCAATCGCCAAGTGTGGCCCAGGGATATGACATCCCATCATGAAACATTGTCATGCGCTTATTGTGCTTGAACTAAAAATGATTTTATGATTATCACTAACATGAAGTGCAAAGCAAGGATGTCGTAATTGCACACATGATCAGATGGTGAAGAACAACGCAGGTATCGTAACGTATCACATATTCGACTAGGTTACTCTGTTTCTTAGCTTTGATGTGGCAAACGCGGCATGCTTATGCCGCGTACAAAACCATGCCGTGAAAGCTCCATTCTCCCCCACAAATATACTGGTGATCCGATCACTTCAATAATAAATCGTGAGCAAGCCTCCCCAGACTCCTTGTCTAGACATTCAGCGGATTGTACTGCAGCCATGGCTGCTTTCCTCGCCTCCCAGACCACCACCGCCATAGCTTGCCGTTTCTCCCTCCGCCACGGCCGTTTGCTGCCAGTCCGACACTCCCAGGCGCGCCTCTCCTTGCCAGCACGCGTACTCACAGCGAGATGCGCTGCTGCTGCTAGCAGCAGCTCTTCCGCTGATTCTTCCGGGCAGCAGCAGCAGCTGTTCGCGGTGGTTTACGAGTACGTGCCCGACATTGTTACCCTTCGCGAACCATTTCGCGAGGAGCACGTGCAGCTGTGCAGGTCTCTGGCGGTGGATGGGAAAATGGTCGCAGGTGCTGCGACGGGCAACCCGCCTACCGGCGCGCTGCTAATCGTGCGTGCGAACAATCGCGAAGAAGTCATTCGCGATCTGATCGAGGCGGATCCGTACGTTACCGAGGGCTTGGTTGTGCGACATTCCGTGGAGCCGTGGACGCCAGCAGTGGGAACAATGGCGGAAGCCCTCCGAAACGGTCTTTAAGTGTGGATTCTCTATCATTCTATGAGGCCTGGTGTTGACTCTTAATTTCTTCTTAACAACGATAGCCAACGAACTGTGGACGCCAGCGGTGGGAACAATGGCGGAGAGCCTTCGGAACGGTCTATAGGATCGGGAGAATGGTCTGGTGATAAGGCTTCAACAGGGCTCCGTGAAGCTGACAAAGCTTCAGCGGATGAGGCGGGGCTCATTATACTTTTGCAGGCAACGGAGGCCTCTGAGGCTGAGCAACTTGTTCTGTTCCTGCAACACTGGCCTGGGAGGAGAGGGTAGGATGAGGAGTAGAGGAGAGAATTGGAGGTGACTTTTGAGTCGACTCAAAAGCCACAGCATCTGCAAAACTGGCCTGGGGTAACGTGTTGGTTGGGATGACGTTTAGAGGAGAGGCGAAGGTGGAAGAGTGGACAGGCGAAGAGTGGTCGTTGGTTCCATTCCGCCCCTAGCTTGGACGGCAATGGCTGTGCCTTAGGCTGGAATGAGAGGACGCTGCTTGCCAAACTTGCTTGTTAGTTGTCACGAAGCGAGAAAGATGAGGTACTGTACACTAAACGTTGTATTTGAACCTGTATTTAGTCAAATATAGGCATTAACTTCGTACACCAGCATCATCTTGCCTGCCAGCCACGTCAGCCCAGCTGCCAAGGAACGTGACAGCAGAGGTACCTTGTTACAACAAAACACCCAACATGCAAAAACGTAAACATGCCAGGAGGGCAGTCCATCCTGCATTTTCTCGGGGTATGTTGCTATTTATTGAATCTGCTGGGGTGTAATAGATTCTCAGAAAACAGGCTCATCGTCACGGCCACCCTGCCTGCGCCTGCGCCAGGGTGTACTCCGCCAGCTGGCGGATGACGTCAGCACTCAAGCGCGGGCCAAACGTGCACTGGCCACGTGGCTTGCAGTCCTCGCCATAGCCCTGACAGGGAGGGGACAGGGACAAGGAAGGGGTGTGGGAGGGGAAGAGGGGGGATGGGGGAAGACGACGGGAAGGCCGGGGGGTCAGACTTGAGGCAGGCACCTAGAGGCACAACCTGCGCTGTCCACGTGGCTTGCAGTCTTTTCCGTACCCCTGAGACGGAAATGAGGCTGGGAAGGGGGGAGGGGAGAGGGGGGAAGACCAGCAGCAGGGGGGGGATTCCAGGCGCCTCAAACCAAACGTGAACTGCCCTCCTGGCTTGACAGGGGCTAGAAGTGAAGGAGGGGACAGTGGTTACGGGAGGAGCGGGGTGGCTGGGAGGGGGGAGTTGGAAAAGGGGGGGGGGGGGCAGGTAAGGGAAGGAGTGGGTGTCGGGGGAGCCACTAGGAAAAAAAGGGAAATATTGGAAAGATTTGAGTTGTAGAGCAGGGGGCGGGCGAGGCTTACATCAGGAATCAGACGACAAGATTGTCAATGTGTGCTTTGGCAACGCATACTCTGGAACAGGATTAGAGGAGGGTGTTTTTTAGATTTCTCAAAAACGCATACAATGGAACAGGATTAGAGCAAAGCACGGAGATGGAAGCCAATGAAGGTACGCACCGGCATGCGGCCAACGCTGAGCGCCGTGACCCTTGCAATGTCTTCAACTGATGAAAGCCCGTTCCTGAAGAATACGGAGGTTGGCGAATAGAAAATGGAAACGTGAATGTTATTATTATTACTTCGGAAAGGAGAACAATCTCTTAACAGGCGACTACCACCATGATGGGGACGAGAAAGATAGAGATACCCACAACGGAGAAAACGCGATTTGAAGAAGAGAGGTTTCAGACACATTAAAAAAAAAAGGGGAGGGGGGGTGGGGGGGGGAGGAGAGGCAGGTGTACCTTTCGAGGTCAGCGAGTGAGAGCCCTGCACCCTGCAGGAATAGGCACAGAAGGAGAGAAACAACCAGAGCAGGCTGGGCTGTGAATTCTGAGTCGACTCAAAAGTCACCTAGAAACAACCAAAGCAGGCAGGGCTGTGAAACCATGACACGCAGACCAGGAGCCAATGAGTGCAGGGCCTGGAGCAAAGATTCCGAGAGACAATTATTCCAAGATCAGGAAGTGAGAGGCGAGCTCCCTGCAGCGTAAAACACCGGTTTTGAAAGGTTAGCTACAACCGCCTCCATGGCATGGCAACCAGGAGCACGAATGCATCCCAATGGTGGGGGGTAGGGGGTTGGCTTTTGAGCTCAGCAGGACATGTGTGGCAGCTGAAGATACCAGCTTTTGATACTTAGAGATACCGGCTTAAAAAGGTTCCTTCCCCCTGTGTGGCAGCCTGCGCATTGCGCTCGAATTCAGCTGCTACTGAGGGGCGGAGTCCAAGGCTACTGTGGCTGTTCTAACATCACTACGAGCTTACCGGTTTAAGCAGGTTTCCTCCCCCTGCGTGGCAGCCAGCACAAGTGCGAGCAAACACTGCTTCTGTTGGGGATGGTGGGGCGGAGTCCTGGGCTAGAGCCGGCTGCTGCACTGCGGGTGGAGGGGGGGGAGGGAGTGGATGGGGGGAGGGGGTGGAGGGGGAAGTGAAAGAGAAGGGGGGGAGGAGAGGAGTACCTTGGGGCGGCTCAAACACTGTTGCTTCTGGTGGGGATGGTGGGGCGGAGTCCTGGGCTAGAGCCGGCTGCTTCACTGCGGGTGGAGGGGGGGAGGGGGTGGAGGGGGAAGGGGGAAGAAGGGGGGGATGGGGAGGAAAACAGAGTTGAGAAAGGGGGTGGAGGTTGAAGGGGGAAGAAGGGGGGGATAGGGAGGAAAACAGAGTTGAGAAAGGGGGTTCTGAAGGGGGGGGGGGAGGTGCATCTTGAGGCGCCTTGAACAAGTGCATGCGGACACTGCTACTGGGGAGGATGGTGGTGTAGATTCCTGGGCTAGAACTGGCTGCTGCACTGCAAGAGGAAGGGGGGGGGGGGGGGAGGGGGGAAGAGGAGGTGAAGAGGAGGTGGAGAGAACAGAAATGATGGGGGGTAAGGAGGAGGGAAGAGGAGGTGTGGGCGGTGACATGTAACGTATGCAGCAGCACAGATGCTTTGAGACGCGTCTTGAGAAGGCATAGCCCCAAGAGCTTTCTTTTTCGGGGTGTGTCGAAACGAAGAATGAAAATTGTAGTAGTGAGAAGGCTAGGGAGGGGCGTGATAACCGAAAAGGAAAGATAACGGGAGGAGGCAAAAGGAGATCAACGACACCAAGTAAACGGAAATCTTGCTGCAACTTCGTTGCTCATGCCATGTGCAATGCAATGCCTGCAGGAAATACGGATAGAGAGCACAAAAACAACAGTGGGACAGCAGTGCCATGCTAAGGAAGGGGCAGACAGATACCGACAATTGAGTCGACTCAAAGACGGGTACCTACAGAGCAGAGTGGCAGAGAGCACAGCAGCAGCACATGCAGCCATGGAGGTAAGTGAGTGACGCTGTGTATCTGTGTGGTGCTGGAGTGATGGCTGCTGTGGGTTATGATGATGGCACGATGGTATGGATGGTGATGGTGATGATGGTGGTGATGCGGATGATGATTGTTGCGGTTGTTGCACTGGCTGATGTGGCACGACGGGCGATGACGTGGCAGAAGGAGCATTCACGGAGGCGCGCTGACGTGGCGCTACGATGCACTGCGAGCGAATCGAAGGTTTGTCTGAACGGATGGGAACGAGGGAAGGAGGACGCGAGGAAAGGGAAGAGAGACGCACGAGAGGAGGAGCAGCGGCTTTTGAGTCGACTCAGCTGTCTCCAGGTTTGGCTGAGGCGATGGGCATGGGGGAAGGGAGAAGGACGAGAGCGGGACGAGAGAAGGAGGAGAGGCGGAATAGAGGCGGAAAGGTGAAGCGAAAGAGAGGAAACAGCGTGGAAGGGGGGAATTCCAAGGGACTGAATAAGGGAAGAGAAATAAATGGGCTGCACGAAGGGTATGAGAGGGACAGGAGAGAGGAGCGAAGTCCGTAATTAGAAGCTCTCATATCTAGAAAATGTAACACTTTGAGCTGCTGTACGTGATTTTTGAGAATTCTAAAAAATCGCCTTTATCTAGAAAATGAAGCCCTTCGGAGCGCGAGTCGGAGTCGGAAGCTGCAAATTGCTGATTGAAATGGCTAGCGACGGCGGTGAGGGGGAGGAGCAGCATTGCCAAGAAACAGCTACAGCAAGAGGAGCTGCATGACTCCGGCAGCAACGCATTGCTCAAACCTCGCTGCTGGCTGCTCGCATTGCCATGCCAGCTACTCGCATGGCATTGCAGGGAAGGGGCTGAGAGACACAGGAGAGAAGACCAGAGACAGTACTAGGCAGGAGAGGAGGGGAGAGGGGGAGGGGGGAGGGGGGAGGGGGGAGAGGAGCTGTATGACTCCGGCAGCAACTCAATGCTCAACCCTCGCTGCAGGCTGCTGGCGTTGCCATGCCAGCTACTCGCATGACGATCGCGCGGGTTGCGTGCGCACTGGTGCAGGCGGCATTGCTGGCGGAAAGTCTTAAAAACCTCCTGTTTCGTCTCGAGCCTACAGAGCGTAGTACGCTGATTCGTTTCGAGACGTCTCGCGCCTACGAGGTACGCTGTTTTTGAGACGTCTCGAGCACACAGAACGTACGCTCTGGATAGAGCGGAGGAACTCGAGTCGACTAGGAACGATTCAGAACGACTTGGGTTGGCTTCGAACGACTCAGGGCGACTCGAACTGAATTTCAGCGATCCAGAATGCGACCTACCGGATTTACGAGTCAAGGCGGCGCTGGCGGAGAGAGGTGGGACGGCGGAGGCAACAGCCATGGCGGCGGCAATCCCAAGGGACGCCATTCCCGAAAGGAAGACTCGGAGACTGATCTGGAGCTGTCTGAAACGAGTGACTGAAATGGGTGACTGCCTACAGGGGATGTTTACTGAGAATTGCCCTTCAAACGAGGATTCGTTAAAAGAAACCAACATTTTGGTGAACCTAACATACGGTAGGTACTAGGTGCTATAGTACGGTACCATGGAAGGCCCAAACAACCTAAGAGCCCTTTTTAAAACTCAACTGAGATTATCAAAGTACCAGTAACAAAAAATAGCAAGCACAAGAGATTTTACTTTCCACTCATCAAAAGCCTTTGAACGGTCAATTGAAATTGTTGTTCCAGTGGAGGCAAGTCATCATACATTTCACCCACTTCTTGGCTTGCCTGCATGCTGTCCTGTCCTGGTTGTAGCTCCTCCCCCATTCCTGAACTAGTACCGTTCATCAATGACCCTGCAAATGCGGCCACTCAGGGAGCAGCGAGGGAATCACTGTCTAAGCCTTTTGCGGTCCCCGAAGGGCACCTCTTGTGCCCTTCACCTTTCCTTCGATGGAACATCCTCTACATCATGGGCCTGCCACTAGCTTTGTTAAAATGCTCGGGGTCTGCAAATACTGGTGGCCAGCTGCTCCAGTGTTGCGCACATGGCATGAGCAACACTGGCGGAATATTGGAAACGGATGATACATTCGACAGGCCAAACAACAGTCATCACTAAAATACGTTGATCCAGATCTGACACCCACCTTGTTAAGACTAGAAAGAATTGATAGAAGGGAGAACAGGGGAGATATAGCATTTGGGTTGTACCCACTAAGAACATACCCTATATAGCCTATAACTTCTGCATAACAATATATGTATAGGTTGACACACCCCCTAGGCTAGATAAGGGGTAGTGCTGAGCAAAAAGCACGCAGCTCAGGGTGGCACTACTAGTCCAACCTCTGAGGCAGGGGCCCGAAGACCAGTCAGCAAGAGTACAAGCAAGACAGAGCAAACCAGGGCGGCACTACTAGTGCAACCACTGGAGGAAAAGCCACAAGGCTAGTCTGCAATGTATATATAGAAAGGAGTACACAATCAAGGGCCGAGCAAGTGAGAGTCAACAGGGAGTAGACCTAACTACAAGCAGTGCCGCAGATGATCTCTAGGCGCAAGCGCCTTAGTAAAGATATTAGCCGTGTTGGCACCCAAGGCCAAGTGTACTACGCGGGTCTGGCGGCGCTGCGGAAGCTCGCGCAAGGGGAAGTACTGCAGCTGGATGTGCTTCGCTCTGCCCTCAAGTCGAGGCTCCTGACACAGGAGGATCATGGCCCTGTTGCCAGCGTAAAGAACCGGGGCAGAGCTAGGCCGCTCACCTAAGTCGGCAAGCAAGAAGGTCAGCCAGCAGAGCTCCTGTGCCGCCATGGCACCGGCGTAGATCTCAACCTCGCAGCTAGACTGAGCAACAGACGAGGAGCGAGTGGACCTCCACGAGATGGCACCAGAACCAAGGCTGAAGCAGTAGCCCTGGGAGGACCGGAGTGTCTCAGCGTCGTCTGCCCAAGAAGCGTCTGTGTGCCCAGTAAGGACCACTGGCCTGCGTCCTCCTAGCACTAGCCCCATGCCCGATGTACTTGTTAGATTATGCAAAACCCTTTTAACAGCCAGCCATTGCTATAGTCGGTGTCTGCTCGTGACCACAAAGCGAGCCAGGATGTTGAGAGGGTATGCGAGATCTGGGCGAGTGCAAGTCATCAGGTACATGAGGCAACCCACCAGCTCTGCGTAAGGACTGCTAGGCTCTGCCGACTCCTCAGGAACTGGAGTTGAGAGCCTGTGATCTACCATCAGAGGTGTGGGCTGTGCGGAGGAGAACTGAAGACCGAACCTCTGAAGGACATGGCGCACCAAGTGTGACTGTGTAAGAGTGATGGTGCGCGCTGCACTGTCCCTGGAGATCTGCAGGCCAAGGTAGCGGCGTAGCTCTCCCAGGTCAATTCAGGTGTGTCGCCTCAGCAGCTCAGCCTTTACAGAGGCCAGCGCATCTCTGTCTACTGTAGCAAAGACCAGGTTGTCTACGTAGACCAGGATGTAGAACGGAGTCTGGCCAGCACGAACGAAGAGCGAAGGGTCTGCAGAGGACGGAAAGAACTGCAGGTCAGCTAGCGTGGTACGCAGCGTGTCGTGCCACTTACAGGGCGCCTGTCGCAAGCCGTAGACGGGGCGCCGGAGGAGCCATTGGGTCCCAGGAGAGAAAATTTCCGGTGAAGCCCTGAGGGCGGCGCAGGTAGACCTGCTCGTGTAGGCTGCCCTGAAGGAAAGCAGTGGAGAAGTCGAGGGAGTGAAGCTCGTAGTCACGCTGTGCTGCTACGTGTAGTAGCGCGCGAAGAGTAGTCATCTTCGGGGTCGGGGCGAAGGTCTGAAAGAAGTCCACCCCCTCTCGCTGACTGGAGCCTCTAACGACGTAGCGCGCCTTGAACATAAGCGGCTCTCCAGGGGGGGGCTTCACCTTGAAGAGCCACCGGCCATCGACTACGTTCACCCCTGGTGGGGGAACTGCGTCGACGTAGGTGCCGGTAGCCCTCCAAGATGCCATCTCTTGCTCCATGGCAGCTATCCACTGGGAGGCCCAGGGTCCCGAGGTTGCCTCAGCATAGGTGCGAGGGGTCGGGATGTCAAAGGCGTCTGGGTCACCCTCAGGGACTAGCAGCATGGAACAGAGATGGGGAGCAGCCTCTGACAGGAAAGCAAGCTCGTACTGCCGGTCCTCCAAGATGTCACTGCCGAGGGCAGGAGCACCACTGACGGACCGAGGACAGACAGGGTCAGAGACTAGAGCGGTAGCAAAATCAAGGCGGCGAGTAGAGGCAAAGTCAGCGATAGCAGTGACAAGAGCATCAAGACTGGAGAGAGGAACAGACAGGTCGATAACAAGGGAGGCAAGGACCCGAGGGACAAGAGGACGAGCAGCACGAAGGTGGTCAGACAGAGGGGGAGGCGTGACAGTGAGCGACGACGGAGGAGGCGAAGGCAAACAGGGAGGACGAGACATGTGGGAACGAAGCAACATAGGGTGAGAACGCTGAACAGGTGAGACAGGACGAGCACGAGAGGGACGGCAAGACCAGACGTGAGATGGAGGCGCTGGGTCAGGAGACAGAGGAGGAGTAATAGGAGGGGAACGAGAGGGGAAACGAGCCAGGGACGAGTCCAGCGGAGGAAACACAGGACCGTGAAGGCCGAGCAGGCGAAGGGCGGCCACCGGCGGCGGCTGCTGCTGCTGCTGCTCAACGCCGACACCTGGACCACCAGCTCCACTACTGCTACACCTCCGGTACACTCCACGCCAGCACCCCCAGAACGAGAAACGTCTCCAGCGCCGGTGCCACCCCCGAGCTCGCCGGGACAAGCCACGACAGGAGCCCCAGGACTAGCACCCTCTCCAACTCCAGCACCCCCAGAGTCCACAAACGGCTGCGGCTGCGACGACGGCTGCGGCGACGGCTGTGGCGACGGCTGTGGCTGCGGCAGCGACTGCGACGAGGGAGGAGGAGACACCGGGGGAGGGACAGGTGGCGCAAACTGCGCCGCAGGGCCACTGTAGTCATCCGACTCCTCGACCGGGACAACCGACGGGAGGGGAGTGACGTGAGACACACCAGACGGAGCAAGACGGGAAGGGAGGGGAGCAAGGGCGACCGGGGGAGTGGAAACCAGAAATAGGGGAGGGGAAACCGAGAGACCTCGGTGAGGAAAGTGGTGGAAAAATGAGACAGACTCGTCGAAAGTGACGTCACGGGAGTGAAGGAAGCGGTGAGACGACGGGTGGTAGAAGTGCCAGTCAGACGAGTCAAGGGGGAAACCGAGGAAGACACAGGGGACGGTACGGGCAGTGAGCTTGTCCGTGCCGGAGGCACGAACGTGAGCGAGGCAGCCCCAGACGTGGAACACAGACGCTTCACCAGGGAACTCGGTCCAAAGAAGGGTCGGCGAAACCTACGGCCGCTGAGAGCAAGGCCAGAGGTTAAGCTGGTGAGCGGCGTAGCGAACGACGAACGGCCACATAAAATGGGGTGCACCGGCATGGATCATGGAGGTACGAGCCACCTCCATAACCAGATCGATGCATCGCTCAGCGACCCCATTCTGCTGTGGGGAGTCTGGTAGGGTGTGCGTCTGGGTGATACCCTCCGCACGACAGTACTGACCCAGCCGACCAGAGGCGAACTCGCCGCCACGGTCGGAGTGGAGACACACAGGGAGACCGCGGGGGAGGCGCGCAACGACGAGCCACGGGATAAGAATGTCAGGCACGTCGGCCTTCCGCTCCAGGGGAAACACCGTGGTGTAGCCCGTGAAGTCGTCAACGCGCACCAGAAAGTAGCTCTTGTGACGCGGTCGAGGAACAGGGGCTGGGCCCCTGACGTCCAAGTGCAGGGTCTGAAGGGGTGCAGTGGCAGGGCGAAGTGAGGAGGAGTGAGAAGCATGGCACAGCCGGCCCTCAACGCAGGGCGTGCACGGCGACGCAGGCAAGGGAGGGAGAGCAGGGAGTGACGCAGGGAGGCCGAGGACTAGACCGTGCTGAGACATGTGACGCAGGCGGGGGAGCGCGTGGTAACCTAGGCGGTGGTGCCACAACAGTGACGGGTGAGTGAGCGACCGACACGAGCAGGCCGCAGCTACCTGGGTGGATGCAGAACCAGAGGAGGACTCGCCCGTCGGGGGGGGAGCAGTGTCCAGCGTAAACAAGCCAGACACAGGGTCCCGGAGGAACGTCGCAAGGGGGGCACCTGAGGCGGCCTCGAAATAGACCGCGTTCTGCTCGTGACCAGGGAACGTAGTGGTGACACCGAGGTCTTGAAGACAGCCGACACCAACTAAGTACCTAGAGAACAAAGGGATGTGCAGGCCTGTAAGGGAACCTGAGGGAAACGCCGGACAGGGAAGGGTAGTGTAGCTGCGAACAACGATAGGACCAGAGGAGGGCTCCGCAAGGCCGACAGCGGCAGGCGCAGCAAGCGGCGTGAGGGCAGTGTGGTCGCGGAAGAAACACGCTGACGCACCGGAGTCTAGAGTG